AAAAGTACAATTGAGAGGATCGAAAGTTACAGAGCAATTATCAGAAAAAACAGAAGCTACAGAAGGGCAGAATAAGTGCTTATTTTGCATGTGTGACACCAACTCTTTGTCTCTTAATTAGCACTTGAAGTTAGACAAATTCAGATCCGAGGCCAAGCCAAAGTTCCACCTGACAGGCTGCAGAAGAGCTTCTCTCTCATGTTCAGCCAAAGGCAATGATTTAGACCAGCTCTGCACCTCCTTGTCGTCCTTCAAAGCCCTGCATTACATAGCAAAACATCCTCTCAAAGAACCTAAGGCACTGACAAATAAACGCTTTTGTCCCACCTTCTTAGACAAATGTTTTTGTTGAAGATTATTTGAAGAAGAGTAACAATTCAACGGTTGCATCTCATCCTCTGCCCTGACAACAAACTCTAACAACTCAGAAATAGGCCTTTTCACAATCTCTTTTGCAAACAGATTCCCTTGCACAAGACCCAGGTAGAGTTGTAAACAAGTGAGTCGAGCTCGAGCTTAAGGTGCTTGAGCTCGAGCTTGAGCTTGGCTCGTTAAGGCCTCGAGCTCAAGCCTTAACGAGATGATCTCGAGCTTTAACGAGTCGAACTATAGAAAATTATGTAAAAATTTTATTTTCGATTAACGGGCCTTATCGAGTCGAGCTTAACCAATCGAGCTTTAAATGAGATCAAGCTCGGCTCGTTAAGGCCTCGAACTTGAGCCGAGCTCGAGCTGAGCCGAGCCAAGCCAGGCTCATTTAATTTAACAGCATTAGACCTAGACATATCTGGCTTTCCATAGATTCCAGATAAGCATTGCTGACAAACACATTCTATCATATTTGCATTGCTCTTCTTTTAATGTTGCATAGAGTTATCCACCAGCTTTGGAAGGAAGAATATTTGCTCTCCAAAGACCTCCACGGTATCCCTATAATTTTCTACCACCTTCTAGCTCTGAGGCAATGAAATAGGATATGGGCTAGATCCTTCTCCTCTTCACCACAAACCTCACACCTCTTATCTAACATCAACCCTCTAGCAGTTAGATTACACTTTGAACTTACAAAGTTATGCCAACACCTCTAAAAGAAACTCTTAATTTGGTTCTTTATAAACAAACACTAACAGATTTTCCACATCCTGCTAAGAACTATAGGGTAAGCACTAGGACCTTCTTTAGAGAAATTAGACTTTACACTAGCGAAAACCACCTTATACACATCTTTTCACTGAGAATAACCCTCTCTTACTCCAATTTCAAATAAGTCTATCCTTATCATCTTGTATGTTCAAAAGAATTTGAAGGATTAAAGCTGCATTAATGGGATTAAAAGTTTGACAAATAAGTCTTGAAAAATTAAATCCTTAACTCTACTCAGTTTATTTCTATCACCAGGATAAGGACAACTAGGTTTGAAGAAAGAGCTATCAGGGATCCTAAGGGAATCTGAAATATGAAAACAATGGCCATTACCCACTTGGTATCTAGCTCCTAACTCTAAAAACTTCCTAGCCCCTAGTCAGCTTCTCCATAACCAAGAAACACCCCCTTTGACTTGAACATCCTTAACTTCTGGTTCCTACAGTATCTACCTTTCAGAACCCTGTTAACCAAGAGATTTGGATTGGTAATAAGCCTCTAGAGTTGCTTGACTAGAAAAGCCTCATTAAAAGCTCTTATGTCTTTGATTTCTAGCCTTCCAACCTTTTTTTCACTCACTAACCTATCCTAGCTACCTAGTGAACTTTCTTACCCCCAGAAGCATTTAAACCCCACTACAAATTGGCAATGTCTCTACAAATGTTTTTAATGATTCCCACATGCACTCTGGAACAAGAAAACACATAAGTAGGTAAAGCAAATAACACAGATTTAATCAATACTTCTCTACCAGCCTCACTTAAGAATTGTTCTTCCAACAATGTAATCTTTGACTCACACAATCACTCCAAAAGAAAGCACCTTTTTTTTCCTGCCTATACTCAAAGGAAGACCCAAATATTTTAAAGAACTCACTCTATTGATGCCATGTAACACACTGCAAATAACATTCATAGTGTCCTCTGAGGTGTTTTTGGAAAATAAAATTGAAGACTTACCAATGTTCACCATTTGACCAGAGTCATTCTGGTAATCATATAGAATTTTTAAGACCATATTAACACGAAACAAATGGGCCTTACAAAACAAGATAATGTCATCAGGAAAAAAAAATAAAAAAAAAATAAAAATAACAACAAAAAAAGATGAGAAACATAAGGAGCAAAATTCTCAATCTTAATCCCTCTAAACTTGGAATGAATTCTAGCTTGGGTGCTAAATTGAAAAAAACTTTTGTCACTAAAATGAAGAGATAAGAATACAAAGGGTCTCACTGTCTCAAGCCTCTAAAAGGTTTTTACATACCCAAACAAACACCATTAATGTTGAAGGAGAAAGCAGATGAGCACATGCAAGCGAAGACCCAAGAAATGAATTTAGAACAATAACCAATTTGTCTTAAGAATTTAGCAACAAATTCCCATTCCACCTTGTCATAGGCTTTGGCTATGTCCAATTTAATTGACATGAAACTATCCAGATAATGAATGTCGTGATTGGCCATGTCCTTTTACTATTTAGATAATGAATGCATTCATAGGCCACAATCGCATTGCCAAGAATTTGCCTCCCAGGCACAAGGGCAGACTGGGAGGCAGATATGCAAACAGACAAAACACCTTTAAGCCTATTAGCAGTTATTTAGAAATTAACTTGTAAATCACATTGCAAAGGCTTATAGGCCAAAATTCAGACATAGAAGAAGGATTAACCTTTTTTGGAATCAAAGAAATAATTGTATGGTTAAGACTCTTGGGCATTTTACCAGTTTTTTGGACTGAAAGCGCAAGATGATGCTGAACTATAGTCCAAGTTGATTGAAAGAAGCCAGTTGTTAGCCCATCAAGGCCAGGGGCACTGTTCTGATCCATATCCATGAGGGAAGATTTTATCTCCTCTACATCAACCACTCTAACTAGATTCAATTTCATTTCAGAGTCCATAGAAACAAAAATCCCATCAAGATTACAACTTTGACTCTAAGGATCATAAGATTTGAAAATTTTCAAGGTAATTCATTAGTTCAACCAATGTTTCTTGCATGGACTTACATTTAGACCCATCAGATTTAAGCAGATTGTCCAAGGAATTAAACTTTCTTCTATCTTTCACACAAGCTTGGAAAAATTTAAATTTTTGTTGCCATCATTAAGCCATTGGACCCTTGATTTTTGACTCCAATACAACTTCTCATTCTTATAAGCTAGGTTCAACTCAGATTTAAGGTTCTTCCACTTAGTCCAATCCCTATTTCGCCCTTGGGTTTCTAGAATTCTGGGAGTCTCCTTACATTTCTCAATCTCCTTTAAAGAGTTATTTTTCTCATTTGCTTTCCAACCAATTTAAGCTTTCCTGACATTTCTCACTCTATCTTGAATACTGAACAAGTTAAAACCTGAAGCAAGGTTCTCCCAAGCAGATTTAACAACCTCAGAGAAATCAGATATCTTCACCAATCTTTTATCAAATAGGAACGTTTTTTTTTACAGACTTCAAAAGTACCAAGTGTATTCAAGATTAACATAATATGGTTAAAAGATATATTAGAAATGTTTAACCTGACCATTAGAAAAAATTAAGTTCCAAGTAAGAGAAAGTAAGAACATACCAAGCCTCTCTTCAATAAACTCACTTCCCCTCCTATTGTTAGACCAGGTAAAAGGATGACCCACAAACTTAGTCTCCACAGTCCCTAATCCTCTAACAAGGTTCCTAAAACTAGAAAACCTACTCTCCTCCCTCACTAAACCACCATTCTTTTCATTACTGAAAAGAATGTCATTAAAATCCACACCCATCCCCCAAATCTCCCCCATCTAATATTGTGCCTAAACATGACTCCTCATTGAGCATTCCTGATTGAGGCACTAGAACTAGCATAAATAAAAACCACCCACTGCTTAAGCCCACTAATCTGAAAGTAGAACTGAAGTTGAATGCATAAATCAAGACTAATAATCTCTAAAATAATAACTCTAGCAGACAACGACACTAACATGTGCCATTTGGAATCCACAGGACTAACATAAAGCCACATATTATCAAACTTAAGCTTTTTACAAATAGAAGATACAAATTTGGATTTTTCTTGGCTTTAAAAAGACAAGCAAAATCTAAATGGTGAACTCTAAGAGCTTCTTTGAACTAAGAAATTGTAGAGGTTCCTCCCACACCTCTACAATTCCACACAAAAACTTTCATCTAGACTTTTGGGACCATTCAAGGTTAGCCTTCCCCATCTGATCAAGGTTTAAATTTTCAGACACTTTTGCATTTAATTTTTCGGACAATTGAACTCTCTTTTTTTTCAGACTCCAAATATTGAGAAGACACATTGAAATTTAAACTACCACCCCTCTTTATATTACAACTTTGGGAATCACCACTTCCTTATTTTCTAAACCTTCAGAATCAACCACCATTGCTTCTGAAAGCACTGAGTCACTTGATTGAGGTTCCTAGTGTAAGACTTTCTTTTTCTTTGCACTATTTTTCCACTTATTGATAAAGGCAAGATATTTACCACCACAAGTTGAGAGCATGAGGGCTTAAGATTATCTTGATCCTTTTTCTACCCCAACCACATTAACCCCACTACCTTCTCATTCCACTGAAACCAATTGACTTTTTGTAGTACTACATTTTTTTCCCCAAATTCCCATCTCCCGAGATTTTCTTTCCAACTACACTTTTCCCTGAGCTAGTATTAGAAGATCTAGTCAATTTAATGTGTTTAATGCTACGACTGATTTTCAAGTGGAAGAGCTTAAAAAATGATTTCATGATGGGGTTGTAGAACTTCTTAGCTTAGCTCTGCGTTGGAGCCTCGAGACAACTTTAACTTGTTTAATGGAGATGATATATACAATCTTGCCAAGAAATTATATCCCAATGATTTCACTAGACAAGAGTTGCACTATTTGAGGAGCCAATTAGAGCATTACAAGTTTGACGTTATCCAGAACAAAAGGTTCCAAAATATTTTTACAATTTTTTATTTGTGTCGGCGATTAGTTGAGACAGAGAAGGCATGACACTATCATTTGATTGATAGATTGATTCGTCTCATTTTAGTTCTTCTGTTTCTACTGCAACAACGTAACGCTCTTTCTCAGCAATGAATCTTTTTAAAGCTCCTCTTTGGAATAAGATGGAAGAAGATTATTTAGCGGATTCAATGATTATCTACATCGAAAGAGTTTAGTGCGAAGATTGACACATACTTAATAATAGATGAGTTCTATAATATGAAGAACAGACAAACACATCTTAAATAGGTAACCTTTTATTCATGTATTTTTTTTAATGAACATGAGTTATATTTCATGTATTTATTAACTAATTTTTTTAAACATTTTTTTGTCATGTATTAAATTATATAATTTAAATCAATATTGATATGAATAGCCTAGTTTTTTTTTTCTTTGGCTACGCTCCTGTATATAAGTAAGTCCAGCTCGAGCTTTCACAAGTTCAAATAACAATTTCATGTTTTGCAGCTCGGTTGAAATAAAATTCTGGCTACATCTGTTGGTAACCGAAGCAATCAGCTTGTTTTTTTTTTTCGTCGATTTGATTAGGTCGACTTTACTGTCTTTTGGATAAAAGATCAGCCCTTTAAATATTGTGACAGTAATACACAACATGGCCATTTCAACCAAAAGCCACACTTATTACACTATAAGAAAATGATGAAATTCCAACGAAAATATATTTCAAAAGAATTATTCCAACGGCAATTCCAACGGATATTTCAATACAATTATTTCCGTTGGAATTTTTCAATGGATTCCAACGGAAATTCCAACGAAAAGATTCCGTTGGAATGAGTTTTCCATTGGAATTTCCGTTGGATTTTTATGATTCCAACGGTGGATTTTCCAACGGGGGTGGAAAAAAAATTCCAACGGAATTTGCATATTCCAA